GCACACACTTCCATAAGCACGCTGAAGTCTCTGGTGAATTTCTGCAGCAGGGATTTCCTCTTTCACAAGAAATTCGATGACAGCACGCTGGCAAAACAACATATCATTGTTGGCCATTTTGTTAGGATTGATACTGGTCATGTGATGCAAGATATTGGCATCACAAGACACTCAAGGTTAACACAACAGATGGTTCCACCTACCACCATACTCTCTTTTGTCTGCTGTTCCCAGGTTGCATGCAAAAAAAAAGTTGCTCATGACTTTAGGTACAACCTACGTATATTTATATGTTGGCCATGTATTTGACTGATAATGGCTTTTGGTAGCCAAAACATGTAGCAGAGCCAAACTTGGCACTGACCTTAATATAGTTGTGTTGTGATGGTTTAGTAAAGAAATTGTATACTTAATTTGTTATAATAGTTTCTTTCCATAAAATATTTTAAAGCTACATTACAGTGTATTCTTGTAGACACTGTAAGTACTGTCACACCCTACTTCTGATGATATGATGTTTCTCTCAGTTTCAGGACATCTTCCTGCCATATACAAAATACTGTGCTGAGCAGGCACAATGCCAGCATTACTGCCGGGAGCGACATCAGGAGAATGAAGTCTTTACTGCCTACCTTGCGGTATGTCCAACAGTCCATTTAAAATAATGACATTTCTAGTATGTATTCTTCAAAGTTTGGACCATGTTCATGAAATACTGGTATCACATATGCTTTCAGCTTTCATTCAGAAGTGCCTCATTGCAGACTACCTTAACTGTGGTTTTTAATAATTTTCATCAGTCTCTCTAGGTGGATACCAGGATAATACATTAAAACTGACCAAGATCTCCTACTTTAGAATTCTTGTTTGCAATTCATAACCATCTTCCAGTCTCATTTGATACTAAATGAAGCAGCATTGTTGAATAACCCATCCTTTAGTTAATGTATAAAATAAATAACTGTGTAACTGGGAGATCATCATTCTAAGTCCTGAAGCATACAAGGATTGACTGTTGTGATTTTGTTTTGGTGATGCAACTCTCAAGGTGCAACATTGTGAATCAGAATATGCATGTAAGATTTGAGGTTTTCACGGTGGTGACTATGAAGAAAGCAGTCTTCTGGAATTTGGCATCGTGTATATGTGGTGTTAACAAGCTGATCACCTGCCCAAGGAGTCCTACCGAATGTATAAGATCTAGAAAAACCGAAGTGAATGGAGAAGTTCATGGAGGTAGGCCTAGGCCCATGGGGGCTGTAATGCCAAGCAAAAAATATGTGGTTTTAACCGACGTTTCAGAGGAACGTATCGCCTCCATCTTCAGGGTAGAAGGAAAAATATAAGAAATCCGCAGGCGAAAAGACCGTGAGAACCGGTACAAGCAGACTGGTGTTGGAATGTACACAGCTATGTGAGAGCAGTGAAGGAACGGGGGAAGGGCCAGTCTACAATTGAAATCAGTGGAGTGGAGGGTGGTAGAAAGGAGCTGGGACAGAAGCAGGGTTTTGTGTTGAGGGAGAGAAAGGCAAGGCTAAAGGATGGGCACTAACCCTTAAGCTGGGGGGGGGGGTTGGGTTAGTGGGTCATGGCCTGTGATTTGGACTCG